AGAATTTTGATATCGCCAACTGACGTCTTGTCCAGTGTTGACTGAAGTTGTCTGTAGAATTCCTCCTTTTTCTCTTGCTCTGCATTATTTGTAGGTGCATAACATTGTATGATTGTGACCTTTCTTCCTTTTGAGTTGAATCTTGCTGACATGATCCTGGAGGAGATTGGTTCCCACTGCATGAGAGCCTTCGATGCTCTTGAGGACATCATGATAGCCACTCCCTCAGTGTGCTCGTGGTTGGCGTCTGGGTGACCGGAGTAGATTATTGATTCTCCCGTTGACAGTTTGGAGAGTCCACTCCCATTCCATCTGCTTTCGCAAATCCCAAGCACTTCGATGTTATACCTTCTCATCTCCTTTGCAATCTGGGCTGCCTTACTGGGTTCAAACATCGTGCGGACATTCCATGTCCCCACGTTTACTTTCGCTTTCATCGAGAGAAGACACATCGGCCAATTGGCTTCCCGAAGGCTTTCACCAACTGGCGTCATTTCGCCTCTCCGATTCCAGCGGGGAATAAGTTTGTTTTCATTTTTTATATTTTGTTTGTGCTTTGAAGTTTCTTTAGCGGTTAGATTTGTTTTACGGGGTAGGGTTGCTAGCCCTATGCCCAACCTTCCCTCTTTACCCGGGCTTAGGACCGGCTAGTAACTAGTAAACTAGTTAACCAGGCGAGGTTATATATTATATATATATATATATATATATATATATATATATATATCACATTTCTGCAGTCTTCACGTACTTCTGAATTATACCATGTAATCATTAGAAAGTTATATTCTTACGTGTGGCTCAATGGTTTAGGCAGTTGGCCTGAACCTGAAGATCCTGGGTTCGATCCCCGGTGGTGGTCATTGTGCACCCTGCCGAGGAGTCCCATAGTAGAACGAAACAGCTGTCCAGTGCTCCCGGGTTTTCATTGTTCCTACAACTAGTGTCAGTCCATGGTAAAATACCAAGTTGACTTTTAGCCAATACGTCACGGGGTCGAACACCGCCCCACCTACTGAGGTTTGTGTAGCTAAGTCTTATCAATAATCTCCACACAATATGTATGGCTCATTGCCTAATGCACGAATGTGCACCAGGTTTCTGACAGCGTTTCGATTTTCCGTATATCTTTACGTAGTTGAATAGGCACTTAGTAACCAAAAGTTCTGATAAATGAAAAACTTGGGCACTGTGGTAGAATGTAGTTCCATATTAGATTTGTTTATTTGATATAAAGCGCACAGTGAGCAATAATTTATGCTCGAAACGTAATCAAGTAAATAATACTGTATTTCTTCTGATAAAGTTCTTTGCAAATCGACTGAAAGCCAAATGCACAAGATACTCACTACACTGTAAGCAGTTTGCATGCCTTCTTGCTAATATGTTTGAAATGATATCCAAATTGGTAGGTATGTGATGACTGTATGTATGATTTTCATTGATTTTTGCTCCGTGTAATAACTAGGGTGTGACAAATACATTTCAATTAAGGCTGTTCATCTTTGTGATCATTAAATCTAGTGCATTTTTTGCATTTTGAAGAATTTCTAATTATCGGCTTATTTCATTGAGGCATTGTGAACTCTAAATAGCCATGTTAAAAAAATCAGTATTCTGTTTGACCTTCTATTGTACTTTATGTCTGAACTAGCTAGAATGGACAAGTTAGATGCAAACATACGCCTTACAGACATAAGTTTATCGACCGATTGCTTAGGCTAAATGTTTGGTTAGTAAATCTACTGATTATTATATTTTACTAATTAAACTACAATTGGTAGGCTGGTTTGTGTATGTGTGCGAATGTCGACTGAAGTTGAGTTGAAATCTGAGTCACATTACGACGACTGACACCTTTCTTTCACTTTACCAACAGATCTGTTAGGTCTGAATGTGAGTCAGATTTTGATATTATGTTTCAAATAATACTGAACAATTTACTTGGTTGTGGCTACCTGAGGAATACTGAACAAAGCTATATGAGCAATAATTACTTAGGGTGGCTGTTGTATCGAATTCAGTTCGATTTAGGTTGAAATCAAGAGACTAGGCTTTATAATTGGAGTGAAGTAGTAAAAGCGGATGCATATTACTCAGTCAAATGATAAATAGATCTTGTGGCTTACACACTTGTAATCTGCAAGTCGTTGGTTCTTTTATTGCCGCAATCTAGAATTCTACCCAACATCAGTAATCATACCTGTCATGTGTATGAAGTTGTGACTCATCGGTGTGGACACTTAACTTTCAGTCAGTGGGTCATGTGTTCTATCCTTGTTCCACGTACCGAGGTTTGAAGGGTCTAGTAATGTTCCATATTAGATTTGTTTATTTGATTTATTACACACATGATACAGTATTGTTTACTTGATGGCGTTTCGAGTATACTTTATTGCGCATAATCATATCAATATAACGACACTACCCTCGACATCTACTTTTTATAGGCCTGTTAACTCTTATTCTTTGTTTTTATTGGTAGTAAAATTAGCATATCTCTGGTATAAGTGTTGTATCATTTCTATTACATGTGTTGGTTCGACGAACAAAAATTCAGTAATCAATCTCTCCACCTAATTAGGTGGATAGGTCTAGTAGTGTTACTAGACCTGACACAACAGCCGTGGCTTATTGTGCGCTGGACGAACGTGGGCGTAGTTGGAGTGGATTTTGATATTTTGGATTCATATGTTTCATTATGGAGAATGCAGGTTATATTTGCATACATCTCAGTGTAGCTGAAATAACATATTTCCAATATTTCATTTTGTAGTTCGATTTTAATATCCTCCAAGAAAAAAGTCAGAACAGACTATTGGCTGAAATGTTTAGAACTCACGTAAATGTATGGTTGGAATCTTTCGACAGATAGTGGTTTGAATAATTTAGCCATATCAGTTACGACTGGACGTGGAATTATCCAACAACTAGAGATACTTTGTCTAAATATCAGTGTAGCTTTTCATCACAGCGTGATATCTGCTGAAAAAAATCATTAAAGATAAGGAAGAATAGGAGTCTGTTTTTGTTTTATTTCCTAGCTTAACAGTAACTTTCAACTCTCTCTCTTTTCCTCGACAACCATATTCTAGTTCATTTGCTAGAAAATGGGCCAAATTTATTGTGCTACGGCTAGTGCTACTAACTGACTGCTTGAACCATAATGGATAGCGGAGGGTTCGAACTCGCGGTCCGACTACCTAGACCACTGAGTCACAACTCTAGCACACCAGTAACACATACCTGTAACGAATGCTGGAAGCTATCATATTCTTAATCATCTACATAATACAGATTCTATTGACTGACAAGTTAAGTGGTAGCTAACTTGTGCAACGAATTCTCAACTTCGATTAGTGACTAGTCGACAGCTACCTTCCATTCTAATCAGAAATTATGCCTTCTATATTTCTAGTGACTGTTAGGCGTTGTGATAGGATGTCAGTTAAAGTGTCTCTCTTGAATTGTAGACACAGAAACAGGCTTCTCCCCTGTCATCAAATCACATTTGAGATTAGTATGAGGGTTGTTTACTTTGATGATCTTTTCACAATGTCTATTTTACTTGGAATATCACTGATACACAGTAGGTTCTTTCTACACTCACTTTTCGGAGCAGATCGATCTTACTCTTGATGCTGACTAGAGCAATAAGTAGGACGTATTTGCATATCTCTTAGTATTAGTAGGCCAATGATCAATTTAAGACTGAAGTATACCCTACCTAATCTTAGCTCATCAGCTTGCATACATGAGTTTAACTGTTTCTGTAAAAAAAGTCACGTCAGGCGTAAGTCCAAGCAGCTGCATCTTCGAATACAAGAATACTTGTCGGCTTGGTTAAGAAAGAGTGAAGGGATAGTGGTAAAAAGTTCAGTCGTAGCACACCTGATAAATGCACAGCACCATATACGTGCTAATACAGCTTTTACTGTCATATACCGTATTGCGAAAGCATTACTACGTGCAGCTCGCCAACGTCTCAACATAACTGAGGTTGCAGCGTTAAAGTTGACCAGACTTGAACTTTGTATTCAGAAACAACACTCCCTTGGCCCTCAATAAACTAAACGTTATTCCTGTCATCCTTGTTTGTTATCTTTTTAGTTCGCTTTTTTTATCTGCGTATAAATTACTTTAATTTGGACAAATTTAAAAAGAAAAATCGATCTGTTTACAGTTCTTAGTTCACATTCCGTTTTGAAAGTGCATTTGCCTCAAATTTGGTCTGTTTTTATGCTAAATAATCCAATTTTATAACTATAGAACTGAATAAGAATTGGTTGAAAATAATACTTTTCTTTTGTCCATATTGTCTTTTATTTAAAAGTAAGTTTTTTGACCTCTTCTGAGTAGAATAGTGATGTCGTAATCAGAAAAACTTTCCTTTCGAGGATAAAATACTCTGTGGTACTATTTCTAGTTCTGCTAACTGCCTAATTGTTTACTGTAAAACTATAATTGTATCTATAAAAATGTTAAATATCTTCGTCATTGTGATATGCAAGTCGTATCGTCAAGTTAAGCTAGCAGCTATCTGTGGTGTTTGAAAACTCTGGTAATCGGAATTCACCGAAGTATGATACTAAGGAACAGCAAACTTGAGCGAACGTAGGAAATTCCATTCTTGGTAGTATAGTTACTGGTTAAACGTTCATTCCTCATTATTAAGAGGAACTTCGGTCTTTCTGTGGTGAAAAGACATTTGTCACTAGTAGTTCATCATATCTAAGGTTTACTTATGCACCGAAGAGTTAGTGATACAATCCTGTTGTCATTAGTCTAAGTGTTTTCTGTCTGTTATTGATAGCACTTATTATTTATTTCGTAGTGTAGACCCGTTTCATAGTGTGTGCGCATGTACGTTGGTGTTTCGTAGTGATACGCTACTACTGATATGTATGATAACATTAATTAATGCACGTGTTTCCATTAGGTTTTCTGATAAAACTCTTTCAACTGATACGGATAAGACTGGTTTACTCTGTTTTATGTAGGTATTACGAATCCTAACAAATCCTCCCTACAATCATCGACAATTCCGAATTATCGCCTTGTCTGCCACCCCTGCTTCCGATATTGATGGAGTACAAACACTGATTGCCAACCTGCTTATATCTCACCTTGAACTGCGAACTGATACTAGTGCCGATGTTCGACCTTACACACAACATCGGCAGCTGGAAACAGTACTCGTTCCTCTTGGTCCGGAGTTAACAAGATATCATAATCAATTAGTCGATTGTATCCGCGTACCTCTAGATAGACTTTACCAATGTGGAGCACTTTCAAAGTGTTCTGGTGATCTTCGTCCAGAGAAACTAGCCAAATATACAATCGTCAAGGCAAGAGAAGAGTGGTGTTCAAAAATGTTGCCCAATATCACTCCCATGGAAAGTAGCTCAATTCAGTGTGACTTTGGCCTACTTATTTGTTTGCTTCATGGTTTGGAACTACTAGTTCAACATGGATTACGTCCTCTCTATCGTTATTTGGAGGGTGTTTATTCTGGAAACCGAGCTAGTTCACTGGTTAGGAGTCAGCTCAACAAACTTCCTCATATGAACTATCTATGGACCGAACTAGCTCAGAGATTCGGTATGAGCGTAGAATGTACTGACGGAATTTGGAAGCGAGAGTTGATTGGTCCAGAGCTACTACATTCTCAGGCACCATTTTTAGCAGGTCATCCTAAACTTGATAAGTTGAAAGAAATTTTGTGTAGTCATTTTAATTCATATGGTAAAGGAAAAATACGAGAAGGAAATTCCACACGTGTTATAGTTTTCACACAATTTCGTGACTCAGTTGAAGAAATTATGCATATGCTGAAACACTTGAGACCACTGATTAAGCCAGCATCATTTATTGGACAAGGGACAAGAGTTAATGGTAGTCCAAGTGTCAGTAATCAATCTGAATCACCTAGAATAGCCACTTCACGACTACCAAATGGACAAGGTGGAATATCACAGCGGGATCAGATACGCGTGATGGATGCTTTTCGGTCAGGTGTTTATAACACTCTTGTATCAACATGTGTGGGAGAAGAAGGTATTGATGTCGGACAGGTTGACCTAATTGTTTGCTTTGATGCTTCTAGATCGCCAATACGATTAATGCAACGTTTAGGTCGAACCGGTCGCAAACGCCTTGGACGCATAGTCGTACTGCTAACAGAAGGTCGCGAAGAAAAGAATCATGCTATAAGTATGGCAAAAACGTCTTGTGTCCACAAAGCTTTGCTTGAAGGCAATGCATATCGTAGACTTGCATTTTATCCCCATAATCCAAGGATGGTTCCACTTGGTGTTGATCCTAAACTTCATTTCAAAAGTTTACGAATGGCGAAGGAATTTATTGATCGGATTAGGCAACAAAGACAGCTAGATTTCCAAAAAAAGCGTTCACACGAAGATATGTACAAATCACATGCAGAATCTATTGGATTAGATAATTTGCACATCAGATTACATCCTATTGCACCAAGTCCAATTCACTGCATATTAAAATCTGATGAAACAGGTATTTATAAATCAGAATTCCCCACGATTACAGATATGTACAATATAACATCCCTTCAAAAACTGGAAGTTCTTAGAGAAACTATGCAGTCTACTCTAGTTCCAGAATCAGATGTTGGTTCGTCTTCTTCATCTAAACACCTCGTGTCAGTTCTTCGACTGGTTGAATTGCATCGTCGTGGTTTAACTCAGCTTTCTTTTCATGCTATTGGGATAAGAAAAGTCGATATTGAAACGAAAATGAGCAGAATAATAGGAATAGCCCCTTCATCCCCTAGCAGGCAAGTAAAATTGTGCAATTTTTCTCAAGAAAAGTTTGTATCCCCCCACAACACAGTTACCGTCAAACCCAACAATACATCTACTACTTCTGAAATAAATCATTCAACAGTAGATTCTATTCAGTGTCTCAAACTGATCAAAGGACTAGTGTCAAACGAGGTTTTTCTTGACCCCCGTATTGGCGAAATTAAAAATTACACAGAGGAGTTCAGTCAAATACTATGTAACCTAGAAATTAGAAAAAGTGTCAATATTACTGTGAAATCTCTGAAAACAGCACTAGACAGATGGATGGAGACTATGAATAATCAAATAAACAGTTTATCTACTGTCTCTTTAAGTCCACAGTTAGATCTTAAGCTCAATATAGAAAACAGTTTACTTGAAGCGATAAGTACTGAATTGCCATATCCCGAAGAGAAATCTGCAACTTTTATACCTGCTGCATGTTACTCAACTGTAGATCTTTCGACAATCGACGGTCATGCAGTTCCAAAAAACCCACAGTTGGTGACGCATCCACATGATATCAAGGCTCCAGCTATCAGCATTACAAAAGATACTGTTCAAGCATTTAATTTCTCTGGCACTCTGAATAACATAGCTCGTAGTACTCCTTTCAGGCGGGTGTGTGTTAACCAAGGTTTGACTTCTTCCTCTAGTCAAGTTAATCCGGATGAGGCTTTAGCTTTACTGGAAAATTCGACTATTCACTTAGATGCGTCAACTTTGTTAGACGATGAGCCGACAACATTTGCACCGTCTACTAGTGTTCAAAGTGTTATCTTTACTGGTTGTTCATTATCACATTTGAGTGGTTTTCACAAGTCAGCTGATCTTTTACTTTTGAAACAAAGCTTTCCTTGGGTGGGGAGCTAGATGATGTAATTAAACCTACTCAAATATCTGAGAATGTAGACGTTTCGCAAAAAGATGGTTTTTCAACGGCTTCTAATAGTTCTTTTGACTCACAAATCAATTGGTCACCAATAGAACAGATGACAGAAACGCTTAATACGCGGGATATTCTGTATTCTTCATCACCGATAAGGGAGAACAATACGCTAACCACTTCTAAAAACTATTCAGTCAATCCAGCTAGTAACAAAAGCCTATCAGGAATATTTCAAGAGAGTTCTACTGAATCATCGATGCACGATCCATTGAGTAAGGGAAAAAGGACCAAAGAAAATAACTACATTGATCGCAAGTTCTTTTTATCACAGGCTGAGTGTACAAATCACGAGTCATCTGACCAACTCCATTCCAAAGACCAAGACATATATGATGATAGCTTCATAAATGACGACTCTGAGAATGGCACTTGCAATTCACCTGGTGTAAATACATCTGATATGATGAAGGTATATCTTCAAACCATTCGCAGTCCGAAACTATTCCCAGGAAATGTTAAGAACCCACGAGATGATATGACAGACATTTCGGAAAAGATGTATGATAAATGTGACGTCAAGGTAGACCTTATCTTTTCACAGGTTAGTTGTTAACTGTTAAACAATCTCAGGTGTTGGTGTAACGTTTTGTCGTATTTTCAGATGTATTTATCATGATGCTACCTAGGTTATGTCCCAGTTTTCAAATTGTAGTTTAGGAACCTTATTTTCGGTACCCACTTTTCTCGTTACAAAATACCTTTCTTGCAGAACTGTTTCATTTCCCACACGACAACTACTTAGTTCAGTTACTTATTTCATGGTTCTTTGTGAGCACGGTTTCCACTTTCCTACTTAATAGTGCACTATATTAAGTGACTTGGGTGTAAGTTGTTCTCTGACCAATCACATCGTTTTTACGGTTTCCTTATTATTTCCCTTATTTTTTGGTGCTGTCGTGAAGTGCGAGAAATTGAACTGACAAACCTTGGTACGGCTGTAATATATTTGTATTGTTTAGGTTACCAAATAGTTTCTTTTCTCAAGCTTCTTTTCAAGGTAAAGTCCAAATCAACTAGTGCGAAACTATGCATTCCATCTGGACTTTCTTGATATGGATCAGAATGCAAGCAGGTTTAACTGGGACATTGTCTTTAAGTGTTGATAACAAGATCCGTGTAGCGCTTTAGTTGAGTTCTAGGTCTGCTACCGTAAAAAATGTCTCGTTCTCATTTTTTCGGGGACTATGAAGTATCAGTGCCCAATAGTCTGTTGACATTACACTAAAGTTATAAACTGCTGTTGAAATACGATCGTCGGTCAGGCTAACATTGGGTATGAGATAGAAGAGGCGAAGAGAACCAACGAATATATTGACCACTAAAGTGATGAACTACACCCACTAAAAGTGCACGATATTCGTAACGTCTGTTGTGATGTTGGTGAAAGTATCAAGGATGCTTAGTAAATAGCTAGCAGTGGGATCCAGGTCACAAGGTTAATCCTATTCGGGTGTTAATTTCAAGTATCGGTAGGAAAAATAACACTTACTAGGAGGAAGGCTCCTTCAACTGAAAAGCCCTAAATAGGAGGAAACGCGCGTCCTGGGTTCCGCTATTTATGCTGGTCAGTTCAGAACCAGTCAACAACGTAAAATACTCATAAGGATCGACATTAATATGATTTGAAAGAATTATTTTCACTTATGAGTTCGGGTAACAGTCTGATTGGGAAAATCGATTCTTCGTACCAATAATGAGTTTTGGATAGATCCAGCTATGAGTCAACAATTTTCATAACACTAGAAGCAACACTGATGAATGGACAGGAAATTCTATGAGCGAAAGTAGTTTTCCAGAGAGAAAACTAAGAGTGATGGGACCTTCATCAGCAAAGTGGACCAATGATTTATTTGTCTAAGGGCGGAAATTTCCATAAGTCTTTAATATACTTCGCCGACCGAGGTTCGGAGAGTCAAGTAGCAGTACCAGCCCGTACACTTAAGGAGTAATTTGTCGTCTTGTAAACAAAACCTGAACATAGTTGCTGTTTTGCAGCACGATAGTTGGTCGGTTCAGTCTATAAGAAGTCTAGACGTAAAGTTTTGGGACTGGAGTATGTGCATTTATACTTGTTACAAATAATGAGTTTTTATTACCTGCCCTTCTGAAATGAATTTCTTACTTTACGGAACAAGTAAGCAATAGCAAACGACTGACCATACTAGCAAGCCACTTTTGATGGTTTCACAGTATACCATCCTAGAGGTTCAATGATGCTTGATTACTAGGTTGAAGTCTCGAATGGATTCATAGGCAAGCGTAGTATTTGCCCTACCCAACACAGCTTAGTAAATTCAACATTATGTTGTGTGTACAGAATGGCTTCACTTTTATTGTAGATACCTGAAGAAGATGAATACCAGTTGGACAGCTTTTATGTGGACGATGATGAGTCCTTAATATTCAATGGATCGTCAAAACCACCTACTCCTAAACTACGAAGACGGCGTATTCGGACTGGTACTCAGATTCAGCAGTCTTTCTTCTAAAATGTACATAAAAACAAAATTTTGATCAACAGATTTATTTAGATACCCTTCTTGGTTCAAAAGTTTTAAATCTATTAGCTATGTCTGTGATATGAAGATAACTAGGATAACCAGAACTCTAACTGAGATCCGCTAGAATAGAATACGAACTGTGTACATGTGGTGGGCTAGTTTAGCCCATCTGACTTTCCAACTTTTTCTTTAACGACTCTGGCATAGACGGGGGTGGCGGGCGCGGTAACTGCATTGCTACCTTGAATCCATCGTAAATGAACCATTGTAGCGCCGTTAGTGTTCCAATCATGATTATACGAGGTCCAAGTCCACTCCACATTCCTAAGAGAAAAAAGAAAGTTAAAAATTTCGATAACCTTTTGACTATTTTATATGCAAAAGTATGCATCCTGAATGAAACGCATATGCCCCTTAAATGATTTCAAATCTATTATATTTCATACGCATATTCTACATCTACTAAGGAGTCTCCCGTGACAAGGTTAATTCTCTCAAATACAGGAGACGAGAGGGAAACTTCCATAAGCCCATCTATGATAAAATTAAATAAAAACATAGTTAGTGAACATCTCTGATGGAGACTACTCACTCACCGGATACCCAACCACAGGCTCTAACACGCCCATGGGTGTTCGAGTACACAGACTTCAAAAGGATGATGTACTTATCGGCATAACTTGAGCAAGATACATTGCATTAAGCTTCCCGACCGACGTAGACCATTGGTATCTTCAGGTCAAGAAACAGAGCTAGTGTCGGGCACTTACTTGTACGGATGTCTGTGCTCCATACCTAGCAGATGGTGAATAAGTGATCGACTTACTTGTGACTAGATCTGAAAGATTCTTCTCTTTTATTTAAATTTGATACAGTTAGTGACTGAGACCAGTCAGAGTTGATTATACCTGATTCCATGCGCAGACGAACAATTCAGTTAATTCAAGTGTTATTCCATGACTGCCGTACTCAAATACCTCTAGAACTAACCCACCAGAGCCCGATGTTAGCTGTCGTTTCCGACTACTCAAAACCTCAACTTCTGCAAGAAATGAAAGCACATCTCATTGTTCGGTTTAGAATCCTAAGGGATATGACTAGGAATCAGTTCCAGATTTTATGGTAGGTAAATGGTAAACAAACAAGCAAATCAAACTGAAGTCTGCAGTATTATTGAACGATAAAATATTAGTGAAGCCCAGCATCTCAAGCGATTAGATCTAAGTGGTTAATTGAATGCAAACAAATGAGCGGAAAACTGTCGACGAAGAGTCTTCGCGAAAAAGAGCGGGTTCATAACACCAACGTGCGATGTTTGACGTGAAGATGACAGAGACTGACTCAGTCATCTGCTTATACTTGTTATAACATACGGTCAGCGCGAACCAATTCGTTTGAAGCCTCCTAAATAACTCAAGGACTATTCAGTTAGAGACTGTGTAGTTAGCATCTATTTTTGAAGAGTTCTTGGCTTTATGTTTTACTGCTTCATATTGTTCTAGAAACTTGTCTTTCAACCAGTGAGATACGAGTGCCAGCCCTCACACAATAGGTGTAAATCATTATCTAATGCACGTGCAACTGATATGATTCGAAATTCGGCCTGTGCTAGCCAGTGATTTTCTAGATATCCGAATATGGATGACGCAAGTTCCTTACCTTAATCACGTGCGAAGTTACATGTTTGTTTGGCATGTTTCAGCGATACAAGTGCACACAATCTTCAGTGTATTGAAGTCCCTCCTAGTGACGTTTGGTGAGATGCGAAAATGGGAAAGTTTAACATGCTTAAAGAATGATACCACGAAACTACAAATGTTATTTCAGTAGCGCGAACCACTGGTAGTGGTACACATTATTTCTAGTTAAAGGCATGAGACATGGTAAAATTAAGAGACGACGAAGATTGGTAACCAATGATAATTGAGTGCTGCTGGATTTGTAGACGATTAATACTACCAGTATGCAGACTGTTTCTACAACTTTCCTGAATGATGATTGTACTACCTTTGTTTGTCTACTGGACTTAAACATGTCGCTTGAATCAGTTATTCACAAAGGTAACAACCAACCTATGAATCTTGATGTCAGTTGTGGCAACTTGGATCTCTAAGTATTAAGTTTCATATTGGTTGTAACTGGCTGCAGTGGGTCTTACATGTTTATTGACTTGGTCATTTGCAAATAATAACGACAAATAACATTAATAAACTATTCCAGACAATTATTTACTGAACAAGGCATCCATTTTAATCTACGTGTTCCTACTAAGTTATAGATAGTCTGAATATGTAATATAATTAGTTAGTGCAGACCATTAGCATAACACATACATTTACTTTAGTAAAGCATAGTAGTGAACTTCACATTAGTAAGTATGGTGGATACATATGGAATCCACAGCCTTCCAGTCAAGCCGACACATAAACAAAGAATATATATATTATCAAGTAAGATACACAGCAATTAAAGTAGTGAATACCAACGAATATAAGAAAGCAGTTTTGATACCATCACACTTGATCAACACGCAAGGCATTGGAATACTCTACGCCCTGGTGGCATGTACAGGGAGTTACTATGAGGCAATGTGTGCCAGCATATCGACGTATACTCTGGCGAACTCCCCTGAAGCAAGAACTGCCATAGACGAGTTATTTTATTTTGCGCACTAGGACTCGGTGCAACTAGATAGCTAGTCACACTTTAAGGTGTGCGCGATATACAGAGTAGAGAACTTATTTGCATACTGGATATCAACATGAGGAAATGCAATCTGTGCCAGCATATCGACGTATACTCTGGCGAACTCCCCTGAAGCAAGAACTGCCATAGACGAGTTATTTTATTTTGCGCACTAGGACTCGGTGCAACTAGATAGCTAGTCACACTTTAAGGTGTGCGCGATATACAGAGCAGAGAGCTCACTGGCATACTGGAGGTTGCCCAACCGGTAGCTAGTACCTTAACGTGGTGGTCAGGTTTGTACATCACAATAAGACGAGGTATGATGGTAGAAGGCCTGTTTCTTACCATAACAGAAAGTTCTATTGGATAGTGGTTAGACAGAAAGGAGTTACTATGGTGTAAATTGCTACGCTGTGATTGGGGTCTGGGGGCGAAACCATACCGCTGACTGGATGGGGTATGACAGCAGTAAGGTGTCTCCTGGATGACTAGCAGTGCCATGCTGACGTTACATTCCCTGTGAGAAGAGGGGTTTAGAAAAGGTCGGCTCCAGAAATAGCATACTTCTCCCTGTCCCGTAGTCTTTCGCTGTCGACGGTGTGGGTTTTCTCTGTTCGGTATTAGAACAATCCGCAAAGGATCGTGTGCGACCGGCCTTAAGCAGATATCTGTGGTCATACACCATCCTTTCTTTTCCAGGTACCACACGAAGAGATAGCCCTCCACGGTTTGGGAGTTGGGAAGCGTTAACCGTCCGCATGCTTCCAGTAGTACACACGATAAAATCAAACATGAACTGTCTTCCTCAACTCTATCTCTTCCTTAAGCCTCTTACACCTTCCTTAACCCCTTACTCTGCGACCAATGTGAACGATCAAAGCCATCGAAACCTCATTCCTAGACTTTTAAGACCACAACACCGTTGATTTCATATTAACATCTGAACTCTATACCGAATCGGACAGCGAGCACCACTCGCCAGAACTCTGAAACCTCTAGCCATGGCCTTATGTTGTGTTTCTGAGACATGTATACAGGACCCTAGTGCTGCCATTAAATTGGCCTCACCTGGGCATTGTTATGAATCTTCGAGATTCACCTTACGAGTGTCCGGAGACCTAGTGGCTGGCTTTTGCGGACTAACTGGGATAACATTGAGCTATAGAGCAGAAAGTGGGCTTATTGACTGGATACCAGTCAACAGTCGCTTTTGTGCTATTTGACTGAATGGATTTATGAGGACTAGAAAGGATCGTGAGACCAACTGATGCCTGTTGGTAACCTCCGCCTACGCACCAACCTAATGCAGATCGAATGATGCAAAAGGATGAATTCTGAAAAGCTGTCAATTTAGCTACAGAAAGCAAAACGTTCAGATGTATTCATAGTAACAAGTGACTTTAACACTCAAGTATGGGAGCTGAGCTGATCGGAAAGGCATCTTGGGGGTATTTGTGGAATCCCATGGCAACGAACCGACAACGGTAGTTGTTCGTTGCAATTTTGTTCCGACAATCTCTTGTTTCTGGCCAGCACTAAGTTTAAGCATAACGAGAGGAAGTCTCACACGGCGTGCGTTGACTTCAAACTAACAATTGACACAGATGGGTCATATTGCTATAAGCCACCATTAGAGAGGATTGGTGCTGTTCCTGGAGTACCAGTTTGGACTCCGACCACCCACTAGTACGGGCTCGTGTGTGTTTGCGCCTTACTGGCCACAGGAAACAGGCGACGGTAAGGCCTGTCTATCGTCGATTGGAAGATGAGGACGACAAGTACGTATTAAGGGAGGGTTCAGCTAAGTATTTGTCTCAACGTAACAACGACGCTCATCCTGAGGAAACCTGGCATGGTATTAAGTCTGGTGTAGAAACAGCAGTAAAGACAGTTGGTAACCTACACTCAAAGGTTGACAAACCATTGGATTTTCGCAACGTCACTGAGAATGAGTGATGCGAGAAGACTGATTCCAGCTGTCTCTGATCACGATTAAGACTGAAAGCAACTAAAGTGTAAATTAGTCAAGAGACTTCGTGTCGATCACGAGCAGTGGCGGGTGGTGAAAGTGAGAGAGATGGAGAAGGGATCACAGTTGGGTAGCACCCAGTAACTAGGCTTATTAAGGGTACCTGGGAGGAAGATGGTCACTAAAACCATCACCGAGAAATATAGGACGTCGATAACCTCCCAGGACAAGCGATTAGAACGTTGGACAGAAAACTACAAAACACACTTCAACTGGCCCTCAGCAACGCTTTAGTTACCCAACATCCAATCTGAGCCTGAATGGAACGTAGACGGCCAGCCACCAACTTTCCTTGAAGTTGAGAAGGCTGTACCGAACCTGAAACAGAGAGAGACAAAATCAACGTATAACCTTGCACACAAGTTGCCCCACTTTACAGTAATATACAAAGAACAGGTGGATCGAAAAGAGTGGTTTCAAAGTAAGCGAAGCTGCGTGAGAGAATAAGCAATTTAAAGATAACAGTTAGTGCGAATACTCAAGCTTTAGAAGACATCAGAGTGTGAATACATCTGCAGCACTGTGACCAATTTTCAGTCATGTCACCAAGAGTCCTCAGCCATTGATTTCTATCGTCTCGGGGAATCCAGCCAGACAGTCTACATCT